TTCTAAAGGTTTATTGTTGTATAGCTTGCGCCGACTGGCACCGGGTGATGCCAGCTAAACTTTTTAAGTCTCACCCATAGAGCCCGGACTCCTTGGGATATAATTATAACCCTGTGAGTTGATACATGCAGTTTGAAGAGGTTCAAAACCATGAGAGAATTCTAAGGGGTCAAAGGGAGCCCCGCACTACTAGGAGGCAATAGCATACCAAGAGATCAAGAACCACCACCAGCGCCGGAAGGCATTTCTAATTTCCAACAAAAGACCATAAGGTGATCATAATACTCAGTTCTTGAGTGAGAGTGGGCATAGAAGTTATGTAGGAAGTACACAAGGGGCATATGATGTAGTTGAAAAATTATGACAGCACACTGGTGAGCGTGTCCCTTGTTCGAACCTTGGGTGCTATCACAAAAGAGGAAAACCGATTTCTTTAGTAAGAACGACAGCGAGTATGGTGGGTGTTTATATGGCCTATCAAGAGGAGGTGGTCAGTTTGGAGGACACTTGATAGGGGAAGGGTAAAGTTATGAGTAATCATAGGCGTATGACTAATGTAACACACCCTTGTAGTGTTAGCCATAGGAAAGTAGGCTACTTGCAAGCTTCCTTTCTGAGTCGCATGTAGCGCTAGAGCAGTAGCATGAGGTGTGTTTTAGATTAGGTTAGAATCTCAGTTTACCAGCAGATTTAGTTAACAATCCATGGGCTTAGTTTATCTAGCATCGGCTGGCTCGTGACAGGTACTGCTCGACACCACTTGGTTTTCCTTCTGTTTGTGACCAAGTCTTTGTTGGGTGCAACCTGCATATGCGACTATGCTTTCTAGACTTCACGATGAGCCATCTCTTGGGTGAAACCTGCACCATTATCCTATCTAGTTCCTCGCATACAACCTAATTCTTTGTTCTTTGGGTTTGATATAAACCTTGGAATACTCCTAGATGAAAAGGCTGCAGCATCATTGTGCGCTTGTAGTATAAGTAGGTTGCATAAGTGATACCAACACCGTTGCAACTTTGCTTGTGTAATGTACCTCATGCATTTGCTTGTTTGTGCGTTCTTCAAGGCTCATCCTTGCTCCGATAGTGTTTCTTCAACGCCTCTTACAAAAAGTGATCAGTTAAACCCATTTTCCTACAATTTAGCAACATGCTCTAGAAAATACAAGATATTGTTCCACATGGTTAATATTAGTGCGAAGTATCATATACCTTTCAAGAGAGGATGAAAGAATGCTTAAACAAAGTATGAATGAAAGTGTCATTGTAAATAGAGCCAGCACCTCCCCACATCACAATGTGTGATTTGTGATGCGGACAATATCTTGTGTGTAAGTTTTTCATCCTTACATTAATGAATTTTTTTTGTATACATGTTTAGATTCCTCCCATGGGTATTTTGTGCCCACGAGTGGTAGTTGTGGGTTTAGTTTTCTACCCATAGTGGGCTATAGGTGTGGGTGTAGGTTTGGGATTTAGGACCTATTTGGTTGAGCTGTGGCTTTTGGAAAAGCTGTTGTGTGTTGTGGGCAGTGGAAAAGCTGTTGTGAGTTGTGGGTTGTGAGAAAGCTGAAAGGAGTTTGGTGGAACAAGTCGTGGCTTCTAGGAAAACTATTGTCGGCCTCCCTCACTGACAAATAGACCCATGTGTCATCCACACCCCTCTCACTCAACTCTCTCCCTCTCTCAAATGACAAGTGGGCCTGCTCATCAGCTTCTTCCTCCTGGGCATTCGCTACAGTTCGTGCACCTCGTCATCGCGGAGACTCTCAGATCCGCTTCTTCCTCCTTAGTTCATGGGTGCATGTCTATATGCCCTCTACCTGAGGGTAATGTGCCTATTTCCATCCCTAAAGCAAGTGAAAGGTTGATGGCCAAGTGCAACAAAGCCTCAACTCCATTGTCACTTAAGAGCTTTATCAATCTAGAATCACCATAACATGTGTGTTTTTATGGAGCCTCACAAAACTTGGCTGAAGCTCTATTGCTTGATAGTGATGAGGTGAAGTTGTGGGGTTTGGTGGGTCTTGGTATATATTACCTAGCAGCCCTAGCGTTTGGTTGAGTTTAGGAAGCTTTTGGGGGTTGTTCTATTGTGGTTTGGTCAAAGTCAAGCATGAATCTAAGTAATTGGAGGGCACAAAAATGAAGTTAACACCATATGGAAGTATCTAGTCAGGTTGTGCTAACTGGGCCAAGCCTACAAACGTGTTGGAGAGCCCATAATGGTTGTTTATAACTTGCCCTACACAAAGCCCAAGGGAGAAGGTGTCCTCATTTGCACTCTATGTGTTATGGATACCCATTCCTTACCCTCCTCTCGTCGTCTCTCTCATCCCCATCCAGATCTACAATTCGCATCAATGACTAGTCGCCTCCCTCCTCTCCCACCGTCGGCAACTCACTCTCCTCCCCTCCCTCCTCTCCCACCGATGCCACCTCACTCTCCTCCCCTTCCTCCTCTCCCGCCGTTGGCAAATCACTCTCCTCCCCTCCCTCTTGCAACTATTCCCCTTCCTCCCCTCCCACCGGCAACTAATCACCTCCCTTCCCTTCGGTTGGTGACTGCTTCCATCCCTCCCTTCCAACCAAGACCTCATCCATTACTAGGAGGCAAGCCTCAGCCACGGCCAACATCATTCCACACAGCTACGAATGGCAAGTTTCCTTACTTTTCCTTTTTTGCATATAGATCTTGAGAATCTCTCTTCCCTTGTGTCGTATCTCGTCCCATGTATAATATATGAATCTAAATGTTAGGGTTATTAAGTGATATATGCATGCTAAAATTCCTAGAATTTGGCTAGTATTATGTGGTCGCCTTTGGTGTGTTTTTTGTTGTTAATTCAAATAGTACTGAGTAGATCTATGTATTCTAGTAGGAATGTTTTTTAGGATTTTATCTTTGAGGGGCAATTTTGTTTCTTTTTATTTTCTTGCGAGGGTTTTTTGTGATTTTTTTTCTTTGCAAGGGAATGCATTTATGTTTTTCCAGGAATGATTTTATTTTGGCTCAGCCCACATACGACAAGCCGGAATATTGGTGCACCTTTAGTACTCCCATGCGGCCCAGTTGACTCCCTGGGCCAGCCTAAGCCTAACTCTCCAATCCACCACGCTAATGTATTATCTCAAAGAAAAAACATAATTATCTGAATGTAACATAACGAATGTGTTTTAGCAAATTATATCATATAAGTTGTTGAATGTAACATAACAATTCATGAATTAGGCGTATAAAATCTTTTGAGTTCGTATATAAATTCATAATGTCATATATATATATATATATTTTTGAAACCTAGTGTCATATATATAATAGTGAGTCAGTGAGAACGGATAAAAGAAGGGAGGCAGGAAAAAAAACTGCTAATGGGCCTAGCTGTGGCACTCTCCTGTAGTCCTTCTGGACTATGATAAATTTTGTCGGCTTGCTCGTCACCTGGGCCTCCGTTGCGAATCTTCCGAGTTCCGTCCGACCAGGCAGACGCACTCCTCCGTTCGCCGGCGCGGTCCCCCGCCCCCATCCCCCTACCGCCTAACGGAGGAATCCTGTCCGCGTCGCCGTCTCCAGCTCTCCGCCTCCAGCCCTCCACACAGCACAGCGCCGCCCCGCGCCCCCTGACGCACGAGTGCCCTACAGAGGGAGGAATCGAGGAAGGCGGCCGGCACACCTTGTGAGAACTGAGAAGCCTACTCCCGTCCATTTCCTTCCTTCTTGCAAGGTCCCCTAAATCCCTAACCCTAACTTTCCTCTCTCTGATCCAATTTGATGCATCTTACGGATGTAGCCATGCAGGCAGTAGAAATTAGCCAGGATGTACTGGTTGATTACTTATGCATTATATGCTCTGATTGTAGAAGCTTCTACCATGTATGTTTCAAATTATATTAGTATGATGTTTGAACTATTTGTATTGTAATTTAAGACTTATTATTGTGCTATTTAGTATTTGTATACCAATTGTGGAGCAATCTTTATGGTACTTTAGCAGTTACCAAATTGCTAAATGCATTTTACTACATTTCATATGAAAATTTTGGTCCTGCATACCCCATAGAAAAATCCTAATCCGCTGCCGGTAGCGTGCTAGGAGGTCGCCCATCATCTGTCCGGTAAAGTGGATTGGAGATCTACCTGGGTACGTTTTGGTTGTTTCATTCGTGGTGCGTAAACCCTAGCTTGTTTAGTTGTGGTTTTATGTGTATGTGCTGCGTGGTGCCCTACTTATCTGGTCAATCCATTCATGGTTGCATTAGGCTAGGGTATTCTTTGTTGGCACCACAGCAGTTCTTAGTACCCAACTGAGGTTTGGCCATTTGGGCGCAGTTAATTTTCCAAATTTTGCAGATGCTCCCAGTTTTGCAGCATTTTTCAGATTAACCAGGGAAACAGGTTCCGGCCAAATTATTTCTTCTCTTCGAAAGGATTTAGGGAATGATGTTATTGTTGTGTGGTTTCATTCACATGCTGCACCTGATGACATAAATAAAGTGCATGCTCAGGGGCGGAGCTTGGTTAAGGCCAAGTGATTTTGCCTTTGCTAAGTAGTACTTTTGTACTGTTTATGCATGATTCATACTCAATTATAGAGACTAACCCCTCCTGATACTTCAATCAAGCTCTGCCACTGTGGATGCTTATCTGCCACAGATCAAGTAGACAAGTAGTTATGTAATTGTGTTTGCTGATTGATTCTATGGGGCCTGCAGCAATATTTATTATTATTATGTTGTGTTACTGCAGGCTTATCCCACTACCTGACATATCAAGTAGACAAGTAGTTATGTAATTGTGTTTGCTGATTGATTCTGTGGGACCTGCAGCAATATTATTATCATGTTGTGTTACTGCAGGGTTATCCCAGTAACTGACATATCAAGTAATAGTAGTTGTGTTCGTTCATTCATATTATCTGTTTCCCAAATAGTATACGCCACTGAGGGGCCGTATCCCGCCACATGGATACATATCCTATATGGAGCAAGTCGTCGGCGATGGCGAGGTGTGTTCAATTCCTCTACTTTCATCCCTAACACGGTCTGATTTCTTCCCTTCCCTCCGCTCAAAGAGCCAGGAAAGAGGGGCAGATCGGCAGTACCTGGAACCGGTGGCTCAACGGCTCCATCATGCCTCTCCCATCCATCTGCTCTGTGCCGGATCCTGCCTCTCCCACCCATCTGTTCTGATTCACTCTCCCACCTTGCTCTAATCCCATGCGTATCTGCCAATCGGCTATGCTCCAATCCCTCTCCCTCCCCTCCCCCTGTTCTGTTGATCCAGTTCACATCCACTGCTGTGTGTCATCTTCCATCCCCTCCCAATCTGCTGCTGCCAGGAGCCCAGGACCAACAAAATCTGTACTCTCCCAGTCTCCCACCTCTGCTGTAGCTACTCAGGTGAACTGCTGGGAAACTGACTGCTATGATGTGCTGCGTATTGTACTCTGTGTTCTTTTTAAAAGAAATTAGTTTGCATTGTGCTTACTGCTTCGACTGCTTGTTACATATGAAGGGCGTGTTTGGTCTGCTGTGCCATGTGCTCTGTTGCTGCTTCTGCTTGGGAGCAGAGTAGATCAGATTGCCCACAAGTTATGCCACCCAATCCATATTACTGTATAAGGATCCGAAATTGTATTTGTTACATTTGTTAAAAGGTAACTTATTCCTGCTTTTATAGTTTATATGCGCCATACTAATTGATGTTTTGAAAATAGTAGGTGTGTTTGCATCTCTGTTGATGGTATTTAACATGTTATGTTACCACTTTTGTAAATTTGGCTCACTTTAATTGTGTTTCAACAGGGAAGGCCAAGGCTTGGCCTGAGAGAATGCAAGACCCAAGGGATGATGATTTCTCAGTGCCAAAGTTGCATAAGAAGAAGGTTGTCTACCGACCACTGCCATCAGGCCAGCTCAAAGGTGAACCTGAACTGCTGCGGAGAGAGGTTCCACAGTCATCAGGCATGGTCCAAAAGCCACCCAAAAGAAGCTTGAAGGTTGAGCCTCACACGTCCCCTTCTGACAGAGGGACTCCAGATTCCCTGCCAGAATCTGGTCCTACCGATGAATACCGGGCGTTACGGAGGAAGTACCTGATGCTGGAGGAAGAGAACTTTGCATTGGACAAAGAACTGAGCATGGAAGAGGAAGAAATGAAGGCCCTAGAGGATGAAAAGCTTGCACTGCTTGATCAGCTTGTTGTCTTGGAAGGCCTTGTCGAGCCGTCCCAGCGTAGGCCGTGAGGTGTTTTGGTTTATGTATAATCGTTGTCATTCAGTGCAATTCAGCAACTAGTAGCTGTTATACTTGGTCTAAACAGTGTCTAGAAACAGCATAAACCTATTATATCGGGCATTGGCGAATAAAAAACTTCTATGACTGTTTGCAGGGTCGGCAACTTCTTAGTGTGTTTGTGTAAAGTCTGAAGAATCAGAAGAAAATTTAGTTGCAAAAGTAGTTTGGTGCGTATGAAGCCTTGTTGCGGCTTTACCTGAAGTTGAGCTCATGATGTGTAACAGGAATGATGCACTTGTTTTCATAATTCATGGGTGCTGGTGCCTACGAGGAAATAACATGGCTTTGGTTACTGTCATAAGCTGTGTTTGTGGGGAATAAGCGAAAATTTGGATGGTTAATGGGATTGTTAGTGCGGGCATGAAGAACAAATATTCTCAGTGGTATGGGTAATGTTTAAGTTGAGCACAATAACTGAGCACACAAAATGGTACCTGATGAATGTTTTTGTGTTCAATAAACCTGTTAGTTCAGAATGAGAAGATCTAATGGATGTATTCCCAGAGAAATGAGGGTTGTGCAGACAAAATTGAGATATATCATATATGCATATATTACAAAAGGGAAAGGGGGGGGGGGGTGGGGGGCTACTGATTGATCATCTCCACTGATTGATTTTTCTCTTCACAACGTTGTGGTAGCTTAAAAATACGTACTTGGAGTAATTTTAGACCTCCTTTGCATTGTTGCCAAATTTTTTACTAGTGAAGTTTGTTGCAGTCAAGCAAAACCTGGGCCAAAATTTAGCTAGGCTGTTTTGGGTACAAACCAGCCCAAACAAATCACAGATCGGAGTAACTGAAAGCCCACGGCCCAATCTTTTCGCAAACCCTCGCCGTTTAAAACCTGACCTGCAGCAGCAGCCGCTCCAAAACGCAACGGTCCGATCCCCTCGAATTCAAATTGCAGCCGGTGCGACGACACCAACACACCCACCTCACATGGCGGCGGCGGCGGCGGCGGCGCGGCGGCGACTGCGAAAGCGGCGGAAGATATGGTGGCGGCGCTCGATGAGGAGACGCTGGCGCTGATGGGGATCAGCAGCGCCGCCACCGCGGCGCCGGTGGCTGTGGGCGCCGAGTGGGAGGCGTTCAAGGAGAACGTGCGGCCGCTCAAGCGCGGGCGCGACGTGGCCAAACTCAACCACGCGCTCAAGGCACACGCCGATCCCGCCCAGCGCGCCGCTCTCCTCGAAGCCCGCAAGTACGTTGCCTTCTCCACCCTTTCTCCCAGCAATGGGGGAAAAAAGTTGTGGTTTTGTTTGGTCTGAATTTCTTGATCTGGGCCTCTGGGTCGAAAAAATTGGGAGGAGACAAGTTGCTGCAGTAATGCAATCTATCTTGTGTATTCATCCTTCGGTTGATTTGCCTGATCCAGGAAGATGATTGAGGCAATCGACGAGTACCAAGGCGAGGATCCGCTCCAACCGTGGCTGAAGTAAGCGTTTCTCGAAGCCCCTTCAACTCGCCTCGCGCGATTTCTTGGTTCGTGATAGCTGCTCTAGCCGAAAGATTGATAATTTCTTCTCTGCTTCGTCCGCGTGCAGCTGCATCAAATGGGTCCAGGAGTCATTCCCGACCGGCGGCGAGTGCTCGGGGTTGGTGGTGTTGTACGAGCAGTGCGTGCGGACCTTATGGCACGACGGGCGCTACAAGGACGACCTCCGCTTCCTCAAAGTGTGGCTGGAATACGTGAGTCGTGCGATGCCAGCTTGATTTTTTTTTCCTGTAGCTTTCGTCTGTGCAGTGGAGGCATCTCACATATCATTCCACTGCTGATCGTGTTCTGTTTGCAGGCTGGGAATTGTGCAGATGCTGAGGTGATTTACAGGTTCCTGGAGGCCAACCAGATTGGGCAGGGCTATGCCATCTACTACATGGCTTACGCATCGTTGATGGAGTCAAAGAACAAGTTGAGGAAAGCTAATGAGATCTTTGACCTTGGTATAGCTAGGTGAGATTTCCACGAGGCCAACACTTGTTTGTTCATATAAAGCTCTTCAATTTAAAATTGTTCCGTAGATCATGCTGTTGTACTATCTATTCCATCTAAAAATTTTGCCCTATGGGGGTGGGTTAGTGGGTACATATGCTTGGGAAAAATATATTTCTCCTGTGTGTGATTTTCGTACAGAACAAGAGTCAAGGATAGTACAAACAATGAGGCTGATGTTATACTGAATCAGTTTGTCTTCTTCTTTGTTGTTTTTATTTGGATTAACCTGGACCGGGCACTCATGAAGATATCTAGCAGGGTACTTAGTTCTGCATGATTGCTTCTAATTTGATACATGCTCACGAATTAGAAACAAATAATTCTTTTTAGTTTCTAGTTGGCATATGTAAAATGCTAAAAAAAATCTTGGAGTCTTCTAGTTCCTATTCTTTAAGATATGACATTCCTTTGACTAGTTATGCCACTATCTTCTTGTGAATGGTACAACACTCGGAATTGTTTTACTTATCATGGTTTCTGCTTACCTCTTTGGTTATGGTTAGTTTTGCATTGGTTTTAATACTTGATTAATTCATGTGAATGGATTTAGTTTCTTATATTCGGTTTTTCCTTGTCAGAAAAGCGAAGCCTCTGGAGAAGTTGGAAGCTGTATACAGGGCATTTCTTCGAAGATCAACCAAAAAGAGGGAACAAGAGGTTTGCTATTTAAATGATAGCAGTGTTTATCTTGGAACCAATATCTTCGTTGAATGAATCCTTTCTTTTTTCTATAGCCGGATAATACAGCAGATGATGATCTGCCAAAACGCAGTTTTGGGACTAACTTGAAACGAGATGAAAACAGTAAGCTTGTTCAGTTTTACTCTGATTTAGCATGAACTTCAAGTGGTTGCAACCTAATGCATATGCAAACATGGCAGGAAATCAGCAAGCATGGAACTCCCACCTGGGGAGACCAAGGGCACTGCAGAGGTCAGTACAACTATGATGCAACAGATGTAAAGTATCCATCAACACCTGGAGTTTTTTCTCGTAATGTCACTGATTATGCCTTTGCACACTTGCAGAATCGATGCTAACAGGCCGCTTTCAGTTTACAAAGAGGAGAGGCCATTACCAAATCAGAGCCTTGATGGAGTGAGGAACAAAGAAAATAGCACAAGCTGGCGCACCCTCCCAACACAAGCAGATCGGAACAAGGAAAATAGCATGATGCCCACTAAATGGACGTCTCACAAGGTACTTTTGCCAGGCCACTCGGATTCTTTGAAGTGACCCATTGGAGACTTGTATCGAGGACAACTATTGAGTAATGAACTTGTGGTAACATCGCACTGCTGTACAGATTCCACAAAAGTTAGGAGCAAGAGGAGCAGTTCAGTCAACCCGAACCAGTTCCATTGAGGTCTTCGTGGAGGAAGACACTGCACAGTATGTTATTTAACATCCTAGTGATACAGTTTTTTGAAGGATTGTTCAAAGTTACTACAATAATATATTTCTAAATAATTATTTCCTTTCTATTGCTATAGGGAACCTGCTCGGCCGGTGCCAAAGAGCCCAAAACCTTCTGTTCTGAAGCTCAGGCAAGCAACAAGCAAAAGTCTTAAGAAGTAAGTATAGCATAGCTCTTGCATCTTCAGTTTTTAGGTGAACTATTTTCAGCAGTTCCCTAACCTGTGCTCTTTTCTTTGAAACAGGGAAACTGAATTGCTTAAGGAGAACCCGTTGCGCAACTTTCCCCTGAGCAGCCTTAGATAATCAGCATTTTGCTGGTTCTGAGAAGCATTTTCGTTACTGATTTGGTTGTTTGATTGTTGTGAGGTTGTGCCTTTATGCCCAATAAGCTTTAGCCTCTCAAGCTTAGACAAGCAACATGTGTGCGCCCACGGGTTTATGCAAGTGTTGTAATCTTCTGCATTATGTTGGCTTATTATTGATAGACCTGCAGATCTCGCAGGCTTATGCGAATCTGATAGCTACACAAAATAATCTGCTTGTACAAATTTTGGCTGGTCCTTTCTGCTTGTTTTTTAATGAATACCTCTGGACTAAACCGGTGTGTATTTGTCTTTTTATATATTTTTTTCGTGATTAGTAATTTTTCTCAAAATAAAAAAATAGTAAAGCACTTGTTTCTCCAAATAATTTGCAATAAAGCTACGGACAAAACGTGATTGAAAACTGACATGCAAGTGGATGCATGGCACATTGTTGGCCCCAGGTACTTTTGTCAGGACTACAACATGCAAATTTTTTGGTAGACACATCAATCAACATAAACACAAAACTCTCATGGCCACCACAAACAACAGCTTGTCCAGATCATTGCCATTTCAACCTCAGGTTCCAGAAGGACCTTGGCGCATAAGAGGAGAGATGAGACGAGTGCAGATGTCCAGAAATTCAGGTGTCCCTTGCATATAACGAAGTACGCCTGGATCGGTAAGACTTACAGGTGTTTTGCTGTTGAGATCCTAATATTACTAGTGTATTCTGCATTTTGTCGAATTAACTATGTGCGAAACCGTGGAGGGCACACTGGTTCGAATCAAAGTTCGATCGGCAACCTCATCTATAAACTGAATGTTCCAATGTAGCTCATACTATATGGAAGTAGCTACTAGTTCAGTACACCGCTAAGGACATCAACTAGGCCAGAGCAGTCCGAGAGCAGGTGCAGACAAGAAAGATCCATTCTACATTTCCACACATCATGAAAATGACAATTGGATTATTAAAATTTTTTTTGTGTGTGTGTGTTTTTTAGGGCGCCATGACAAGCAGTCTCGTCAGATGATAACGTATTAAACACTGTGGCTGGCTGCCCTAGCCCACAGCCTTTGTACACTTGCATTACATCATTGGCTAGCTATGTGACATGGCCGGTTGGTTAGAACCAGTAATAGCGAGTAGTGACACACACACAAACACACTGCTATATAAGAGGTCACGCGCACACAGCATGCTCCCTGTGCACCTGCTCCATTCAGGTTTCAGGCAAGCGAGGCTGCAGTGCTGATTCTCTCCTCTCAGGAGGCGACGGCCGACGATGAATCGCCAGGCGAGTCGCCGAGGCCACCGGGTGCGCCATGTCCGGCTCGGCTCGCTTCTCCGGCTCCGTGTGCGGCTGTTCGGCCTCGCCGGCCTCCTCGTCCGGTGCCTGGAGGAGCTCAACTGCTGCCCCAGGAGCAGGAGGAGGTCGAGGGCGCATAATAAGGTGGTGCTCAACCACGGCGACAGGTGTCACCGTCCTGGACCAGCAGAGAGGGAGAACTCCCTCCAGGCAGAGGCCATTGCAGACTGCTTGGAGTTTATCAAGAGATCCTACCTACCTGCTGCTGGTGATCACAAGTCAGATTGCTGCTAGATATCTGCTCTTCTCGGCCCGGTTTGGGACCCCAAGAATTTCCCAGTTCTCGTGAAATTCCTCGGTTGGTTCCAAACAAGCCCCAAGTGTACTGGCTCTAGTAGTTTGTACATACATAGCATAGCAGTTTTGCTAGTTATCTTTTTGTTTGTTGTGCGCATCAAGAATGACCAAATCTATGTTAGGAGGAGGCTAGTTCTTTCTTCTTGAATAATAAAACAAGAACTTGTCTATGGCTACTAAAAGGTGAAATGTCATTTTCTAGCTGATGAGAAGGGATGTGGTGTTGCTTTTCTGGGCGGTGGTTTTCAACAAGGGATTAGGTGAACTTGAGTCATGAATGGTGACTAAGAAGCATTCAAGCTTTAGTTTTTCAGAGCAGTTGACCTGGCCCCTTCATAGTACAAACAAATTTGAGGTCGAGGGCGGAGGGCTTCTTGTGTGATACTTGCACACCTCAACATTTTTGAAGTGACAATCTATCTGCCTTCGTTAGTACATGCAACTCAATATGGTAGTAGGAACCTGGAAGCGCCATAAATTCAAGTCCTAATAACTAACAGAAAGAGCTAAGATAATTCAAGATTCTTCGGGGAAAAAAAGGTATTCTGATTAGAGTACAAGTCGTAATATCCTGATGGCAATAGACATGAGAAAAGGTATTGAACTATATTGCTCGCCTTCCCTTAATATGCAACTTTGGGATACCATTGCTGTTAGAATGAAAGTATATATACTAACTACAGTGTAGATACTGTTAAATGGTAATTCCAATAGATTCGACAGATTAGGATGAACAGTAACATATGCCAGAAGCCTCGTCTATGTTCAGGAGAGGACACTATACAGAGCCAAGATGAAGAAAAAATTACACCAAAACTGTATGCACCTCAAAATTTCTGTGGTAAGCAAACACCCCTTGCAGAATTTCAGAGTTGTTGGTGCACAGCAGAAATTAGAGTCTTATTCCAATGTTCAGCTGCTTTGACATGTCCATGATTACCCAGCGGATTAAAATGAATGTTAGAAAAGAATGGCAAATGTGCGCCTCAAAAGCCTTCTTTAGGCATCCGGGTCGATGTTACATCTAGCTGCAAAACATATGGCACAAATAAATTAATCCCCTGCTTTTACTGAGAGATTAATATGTTAAAGCTGTGGGGAATAAGAAAGAGAATTCACCTTCAACACCAGAAATGCCTCAACCATGAATCATTTACAGTACTGTAAAGCTGTACCCTTTTCTTATACCATATTCTGATGTAACCACAATCAAATGAGCTACGTTACCAAAATGGACCAACAAAATTGTACAACTGGTGAAGAAATAATATACGCTATGCTGATATTATGGGGCCTATTGATGATTGGAATATATCATACAGTGCAACTTGAACTTCTCCAGAGCTATGCTCGCAGCCAATAAGATTAGCTAATAAGGGGAAAAAGAGGGGCAAGTTTCTCCTAAAGCAATTCTTCTCTAAACTGCTCAATAACCGCATCACATGAAGGACCAATGAAGTTCTAGCATCCAGTTCCTCCTTTTTAGCAGTAACCAAAGGCAGCCGATGTAAAGCTGGATCTCTACCAGAAACATCATTAGATGGTTCATGCCCTGCACAGGTCAGATACATTCGCAATATTTTCTCGCAGACGAGCATAATTTGTGACTCCACATTCATATTTTCTGACAAAGATGGGTTATCATGAAGAAGAGCTTGGAGAAGTTTGAGGTAGCTCTGGTAGGACTCGCTCTCGAAATGGATGACCGCTGGCTCAGATACCTCCAAAATGGAACATGCTTTATGTAGTTTAATGTGCAAGTTAGATTCAGAGTTCACTTCACTTGCATGTGATGCAATGGCTGATAGCATCTCCAACATTATGCCTATATGCTCAGCACAAAGAAAGCTTCTGTGCACCTCATACAATTTAATGATGCCCTGCAAGGAAGCCAGGAAAAGGTTTTGATTGATAACTGTTGGCACATTAAAAATGCATGTAGGATTCTTTTTCTTTAAAATTGGTTCCTATTTTAATTGGATATGCAAAGGAATTTATGGTATCTGTTCTTTCATGGTCTCAAAATCAATGTAGCAGTGCTTACAGTATAGGGGATTACTAAAAACTAATTGAACTAACAAGAAGCCACATGATTTCTATATTTTAGTTTAAGTACCTCAACAATTAAGAGTTGCAAAGCCATATGATTCTTCATTCTGACAATAGCATAAGATGCTGTTTCCATATTAGCTTCCTCTTCATCATCATTGTATATGTCATGATCTGAATATTGCTCAGCTTCAGAGTAAGATTCATTTCTATCTGGAATTTCAATGTCTTTCATCATCCTAACTATTTTGTCAAACACGACAAATGTATGTGCTGCTGATTCTTTGAAACACAACAAGATCGTCCCCCACTCATCATTGGAGAGCTTGCTCGCGAGTCCTTCTGTTAAACGCTGAAAAACTGATATACTCGTGCTAGCTGATTGTTTATAAGGGCTTCTGATGAAATTCGTAATAACAGACGTAACTCTAGAAAGTTCTGGACGCATCACTTCAAAAAACGTAACATACAAATCTGCTAAACATTTTAGAGCCACCATTTTAGTTTCAAAATTCCAAGAATCATCCTCAGTACTATTTATACTTGAGATCAGGCCATTTGGTGCAAAGCTTTCACTGCTAAATAGGGGATAAATAACCGATTCAAAGATATTAGCCCAGAAGGACTGAGAAAAGAGGTGCCCATGATCTTCCAAGATGTCAAAGAGCACTTCCACAGAACCTTTTCTGATAGTTGGTCTTGAGTCAGTTGTCAATCTAGCTAGACCTGGAAAAGAGAGATTCAAATAAAATATGTTACAACATGAAGCATTTCTAAATTTTCCAGTAAGATCCGTGTAATTTTGTGAAAAAAAGTTATACCAGCAAGCAAAGGAACCCAGAAGTAAACATGATCATCCTTATGCACCGTGCTGTTCCCATCTGATGAATCTAAGTTACTTGGTTGCTGGTCAGTATCCTTCTCATGACTAATAAATCCTTCCTCAGCGAGTTTGACGGCACAAAACCGAAGAAATGCAATGGCATTAAGACTCGCATCGCTGCTAAATTTACTACTTGTGAATGTGATAAGGCATTTAACACAATCAGTAAACGTTGTGGTTTCAGTTTCAGTTATGTAAGGGAAATAGTCCCGAACAATCTTTTCCATGGTTTCAAATGCCAACAGAACAATATTTTTCCGATCATCAGCAGCAGCTGCAGTAAAAACCTGTAAGTAGATAAGATGATGTTAATATTGAATCATCAATTTTAAAAAGACAATCTAAGGGCTTGTTTGGATGCCCATGTATCCACCTCAATCCATATGCGTTGGGGTGGGTTGGTGTGGAATTTAGTTTTAAATTTCACACGAACCCACCCCAACACACGTGGATTGGAGTGTATATATGGACATCCAAACAAGGCCTAACTTAGTTCCTGAGAACAGCTAATTGTAGATCCCATGAACTTTATGCCAAGTGATAGAAGCCTAACAGGCTGAGATGTTATATATTCAAAGTTGTGTTACAAGAGGGTTACATATATAGCCTAGGATATAGAGGTGCCCAAGGGGCCAGTTTAGACTAGAGTAATAGACTACAGAGGAGCCCAAAGGGCCAAGCCAGCCTGGAGGAGGTGGCGCATTCATAAGTAGAGTAGAAGCATTCACATAGAAACTAGATATTCTACGCAGTCGGAACGTCGCTAGGACGAACGTTAAGACTGGAGCGAAACTCTAGGAAAACAGAGGAAGGGAGCCCCTTGGTGAAGACATCGGCGAATTGCGACGTGGTGGGAACGTGTGGAGCACACAGACAGCCCCAATGGCGACCCGTTCCCGGACGAAGTGGAGGTCGATTTCCACGTGCTTGGTTCGCTAATGTTGGACAGGGTTGGTGGAGAGGTAGACGGCGCTGACGTTGTCGCAGTAGACGAGGCAGGCGGACTGTAGCGGCTGATGCAGCTCCTGCAGTAGTTGCCGCAGCCAGGAGGCCTCGGCGACACCGTTGGCGACAGCCCGATACTCGGCCTCGGCGCTGGACCGAGAAACGGTGTGCTGTCGCTTAGAAGACCAGGAGACGAGGCTGCCTCCAAGGAAGACAGCGTAGCTGGAGGTGGAGCGGCGAGTGTCTGGGCAGCCGCCCAGTCGGCGTCCGTGTACACAATAAGTTGAGTAGGGGATGATCGAGGAATGACCAGGCCATAATCCAGAGTGCCCTGAAGGTATCGAAGGATTTGTTTGGCAGCAGCAAGGTGACTCTCCCTAGGATCATGCATGTGAAGACAGATCTGCTGGACTGCGTAGGCAATGTCGGGCCTGGTGAAAGTGAGGTATTGTAAAGCACCCGCAAGGCTGCGATAATTTGTAGGATCAGCAACAGCAGGACCACCATTAGCAGAGGCTTTGGCGCAGGTGTCAACAGGGGTAGAGCAAGGTTTGCAATCAGTCATGCCATGACGAGCCAAGATATCCAGAGCATACTGCCGTTGGGAGAGAAAAATAGCAGCACCTCGTCGTTGAACTGACATGCCAAGGAAGTGATGAAGAGGACCAAGATCTTTCATGGCGAATTCCTTCTTCAAAGCATCAATAACACGGCTGAGAAGCTGCTGGGAGATTGCAGTGAGTATGATGTCATCAACATAAAGAAGAAGGTAGATTGTGTCAGCACCCCGGCGGTAGATGAACAGGGAGGTGTCCGAGCGAGCTTCAGAGAATCCCAAAGTGACCAAATAAGCAGCAAACCGACTGTACCAAGCGCGTGGTGCCTGTTTCAGACCATACATGGACTTGTTCAGCTTGCAGACATGATTGGGAAGAGCAGAATCAGTGAAACACTGTGGGCTCATGTAATGCGAGCGATGAAGCGGTCTCTGAAAGAACCCCATGAAGAAAAGTGTTCTTCACATCAAGTTGATGTATAGGCCAATCCCGAGAGTGGGCCAAAGTGATAACCGTGCGGACAGTTGCAGGTTTGACAACGGGACTGAAGGTTTCATCATAGTCGACACCTGGCCGTTGTGTAAAGCCTCGAAGAACCCAGCGAGCCTTGTATCTGTCCAGGGAACCATCAGCATGAAATTTGTGTTTGAAGATCCATTTTCCAGTGACCACGTTTGCCTTGGCAGGGCGAGGAACGAGGTCCCAAGTGTGGTTCTCAATAAGAGCTGCATGTTCTTCTTCCATGGCGCGACGCCAGTGAGGATCAGTGAGGGCGTCACGACAAGACCGAGGAATGGGTGACAGCGCCTCGGTGTGAAGATGAAGGCGCGGTTGGTGATATCCAGACTTCCCACGGGTCAGCATGCCATGGGAGTTGGAGACCGGTGGGATGGGAACAACACCGACAGGAGGAGCAGCCTTCACGTAGCGAGGTGGTGAAGGGACGATGCTCGGCGCCTTGGGAGGGAAGCAGCAATGGGAGGCGTCGGTGAAGTCTTTGGAGCAGGAGCGCGCGGGAGTAGACTTGGGTGTGACGGTGGTTTGTTGAACGCCGTCGGTGGTGCCTGGGTCGTGGTGGGCGCCATGGGCACCATGGGTGCCGGAGGCATCACGGGTGCTGAAGGCACCATGGGCGCCGGACGAGCAGCAGGCATCATCGGCGATGGAGAGGTAGCAGGTACCGGGGACGCCGGAGGAGCCGAAAGTCTTGGGAAGCTGGTGGAGACACAGGTGCCATGAGGGAGATGATCAGGCTGTGTGAGAGCTTGGCAAGTGAGTGGAGGCTCATCGGGCGGCTCAACTGCAGGAGGCAAACAACCACAGGCAGGGGGCGGGCACGGCTGAAGTAGTGGGTGTACCTGCAGAATGAATAGGAGGTGGTGGAGGCTCATTATTAGTTAGAAAATCAAGCTCTTGGGGTGGAGGAGATGATCGGTGATGGGAGAAAGGAAAATGGGATTCGTCAAAGGTAACATGGCGAGAGATGATGACCCAGTTGGAGGTGAGATCAAGGCAGCGATAACCTTTGTGATCAAGGGAATAACCAAGAAAGACGCACAAAGTAGAGCGAGGAGCACGCTTATGTGGGGCAGTGGCAGTGAGATTAGGATAGCAGGCACACCCAAAGACCCGAAGTTCGCGGTAGGAAGGGTGAGTGGCATGGAGGACGGCACGGTGTGGATGGACCAACGTCTTGGTGGGAAGACGGTTGATCAGATAGGTGGCAGTGGCAAGAGCGTCCACCCAATAGGAGGGAGGCATAGATGCTTGAAACAGTAAGGTGTGGATGACATTATTTGTGGTGCGAAGGATGCGCTCAGCCTTGCCGTTTTGCTGCGAGGTGTATGGACAAGACATACGCAGGGAAACGCCTTTGGCAAGAAAGAAAGCGCGAGAGGAAGAGTTGTCAAACTCACGGCCGTTATCGCATTGGATGGATTTTATGGGGCACCCAAACTGAGTGGAGACATAGGCGAAAAAAATTAGAGAGAGTGGAAAAAGTGTCGGATTTGAGGCGAAGTGGGAAAGTCCATAGAAAATGCGAGTAGTCATCAAGTATAACTAAATAGTACTTGAAACCAGAAATGCTGAGTACAGGAGAGGTCCACAAATCACAATGAACTAAATCAAAAGGTTTGGATGCCCTGGACATCGAACTAGTGAAAGGTAACCGAACATGTCGTCCAAGCTGACAAGCATGACATAAAGAGGTGTCGCCGGGCTTGCTGCAGATAATAGAGGAGGACTGAGTAAGGTGTTGGAAGGCATCCTTGCCGGGGTGACCAAGGCGACGGTGCCAATCGATCGTCGACGGGGTGTTGACAAGAGCGCAGGAGCCGGACGATGATGATGGCAGCTGTAGGGTGTAGAGAGGTCCCGAGCTATTGCAGCGAAGGAGGATGGTGCCCGTGCGTAGGTCCTTTACAGAAATGCCAACAGGGTCAAATTCAACAGAAACATGGTTATCAGTGGTGAATTGATAACAGAGAGAGAAGATTTTGATGATGTCAGGAGCAAGGAGAACATTGTTGAGGCGAAAGGGACCGGGAAGGGTGGAGTAACCGGTGCCAACCACAGGGAGAGTGGCACTGTTGCCAACAACAATGGAAGAGGGAAAGGTGGAGGAGAGGGAAAGGTGGAGGAAGAGGATAAGGTAACCATACCGGGGTTGGATGCGATGTGGGAGGAAGCACCTGAATCGACAACCCAATCGCTACTACCCGGTGGCGTAAGGGTCACGATCTTGAAAGCGTTATGCAGAGGAGTGTGGATCCCAAGGTGCCCATGCTGAGGGCGTGCTGAACCGGTGCACGGGAGTATACAGACCGTGGCTCGGTGCTCAGAGATCTGCATCAGGCCCGGTGTGGAGTATGGTGGAGGAGCCGGAGCCATGGCGACCATCGAGCTTCTTCTTTGTGTGTGGAGGGAAGCCGTGTGGGCGGTGGAGCACGAGGACGCGCTGGGTTGGAGCCGGGCCACATATGAATGGACCCAGTCCATGGATTGAACACGGAGGGCCATGGCGAGCCTCCAGAGCCGCCTTGGCCACGCCCACCACGGCGACGGCGCCCACGTCCGCTGCCAGAAGGGGCGCCCCCAGTAGAGGGAGATCCCTAAGGGGGGCGCGGTGGCGCAGGAAGTGGAGGCGCATGCGGCTTGCTGGTTGGTGTAGCGAGAAGCGCCGAGGGAAGAGCCATAGGCTGCTCCATGTTGAGCTCGCAGAAGGCGCAGTCGCTATGAACGTCGCTGAAGGAAGGAAACGGCTTCTGGCGAGTGATCAGCTGTGCCATGAACTGAAACCGTTCGTTGAGGCCGCGCAGGACGTTCAGGACGAGCGTATGGTCACTGATGGGCTCGCCAAGATCAGCAAGGGCATCAGCCTTGGTCTTCATCTGGCGGCAGTAGTCGTCGATGGAGAGGGCGCCCTGAGAGAGGTTGCGAAATTCAGCATCAAGAAGGAGTGCCCGGGATTCGCGATTTCCCAGGAACTGATTCTCGACCCCGAGCCAAGCCGCCCGGGCAGTGGTGCCAGCGTGCTCGTGGACGATGTCCAGAAGGTCGGGGGAGATGGTGTTGAAAATCCAGGAGACGACCACGCAGTCCATGCGAGACCATGCCGGATCGTCGGGGCGGGCGTCATCGCTGAGGACATGGCCCCTCAGGGAGAACCGCCCGAGGGTGAGGAGGAAGTAGCCGCGCCACTTGGAGTAGTTCGATGACGACTGGAGTTCGAGGACGATGGGGATCAAGTGCTTGATGTTCTGGACAGCAGCCGCCTAGCTGTGGAGATGAGCAATGGCCGCGGCTTCAGAGTGGGCGTCATCGTCGCGAACATCGTCGTCCTTGAGCAGCTCGGCGCGAAGACGATTGCGGAGGGCAGCAGCCTGCTGCTCCAGGGCGTCAGCCTGCGCGCGCTCTTGGTCAAGAGCAGCGGTGGCAGTGCGAACGCGCTCCTGGGCAGCGGCGGCAGACTTCAGGAGGTCGGCCTCCTGTTGGAGCTGCTGGCTGCGCTCGGCGTTGGAGGAGCGGATGGAGATGGCCTGGGCCTCCAGCAGCTCGGCGGCGGAGGTAGCTTCATCACGAAGCTTGGCCGCAGCAGCGGTGGCCGAGAGACCGATGCTGGAGTCACCGGAGGTAGGGGTATCGGCGGCCATGGGCGCAGATAACAATGCCGGGCGCACTGCTGGGGTGTGTGCAGCACATGGTGGGGCGCGAGACACGGCGCTGGGAAAGAGAGGGGAAGCGGACACGGGACTCAAAAGTCTCGTGATACCATGATAGAAGCCTAACAGGCTGAGATGTTATATATTCAAAGCTGTGTTACAAGAGGGTTACATATATAGCCTAGGATACAGAGGTGCCCAAGGGGCCAGTTTAGACTAGAGTGATAGATTACAGAGGAGCCCAAAGGGCCAAGCCAGCCTGGAGGAGGTGGCGCATTCATAAGTAGAGTAGAAGCATTCACATAGAAACTAGATATTCTAACACCAAGATGTCATGATAAACTAAAACTAGAGATAGAACATTACGTACCGTAAAAACACTTTTCCATCCAGATTTTATATTGTTGACACGACTCAGAACCATTTGGGAGACACATCGAACTATAAGTTCACGTACTTCTGAAGCATTGCTCTTCTGCATAACAACCGCAAAAGGTTGCAGGAATTCATTTTGGAAATTATAATTTGCCAGTTCTTCTCTTTCCAGAAACTTCATAGCTAGCTGCCTCAAAGAGTCCATAACAAATATTGCAACTGAAAGATTCTCTAACAACCCAACAGAAACAAAAAAATCTGACAGAACTTTCCAAATACGGGACCAAACCAAACGTATGCGGTTCATATTGTAATGCCTGTGCAATGAAACTTCAAATTAGTTCATTTGGAAATTATTGTCTACGAATATATTCATAATTTCATATAGCTTGACATAGGTCATAGATTATAAGCTTACGCAATCTCAACAATCTTTGTTAGGCAGAAGATACGAGGATCTGTGGGAGACTGCAACTCTGTCATTGAAACTTTGCAAAGAGCATTCACAAAAGCAACAATAGCATCACTATTTAATCTTGGGCTATGAGCAAATATGTGATTTAACTCGAAAATGCCAATCTGGTCTAGCAGGTTTATGTTTGATATAAAATTATTAATCTGTTCAGGAGTAACCAACGGTGACGCTTTATTTTTTGCTGTTGTGCTGTCATAAGAACCTCCTCTAACAGCAGCCATTACAGCTGGATTCTGAAGTGCATTAGTTCTCTTTGATGACATAGAGGTAGACTTCTGTGTTTTATCTTCTGAGTTAACCAGTGGTACTGTGAGAAATGAAGCATCAGTAGGTGCCCCCTCTCCAAGAAGATGTAAATGCTCAAACCGTGAAAGGCATGTTAGTACATGCTCCCAAGCTTCCTGCAAATAATCACCATCTTCGATTGCAATGGATATTATAGCCTGTCAGGAAACAGAGTGAGAAAAAGAAAACAGACTCACTTCGAAATGGACAATATAGTCTAACTGAGATTCATTTAGATGCTAATTCATGTGCCGATGATAAATGGTAGGGTAAAGTAATATTCATCGTCCTTCAGCTAATTGGGCATGGATTGAGTGCCCACCTCCTGACGTTGGCAGCTTCTCAGGATGGTGGAGTCGCTCACTCAAACAAGTCGAAAAGCAACTTAGGAAAGGCCTTAATTCTTTTACCATCCTTGTTGCTTGAAAGCTTTGGATGCAACGCAACAATTGCGTCACCTCTATATTTCCTTATGTAAATTGGGGTATGAAGGCTGTTGTAGAATAAAGTGATTTCTGATGTGCTTCTGGTGCAAAGCAGATGCTAGGTTTACTCTCTAGGGTTGTCTAGGTTCAGCGGTTGTTTAGGTCAGGTCGTCTGTTATTTTGACAGTGGCACGCACCTTCTAAACTATTGTGGGGTGGTGTTGTTGTTGTACTTGGTTCATTTTTCTTCTTTAATGAAATGATACGCAGCTCTCCTGCATATTCGGGGAAAAAAAGGATAAAGCAATACAATCCAGTAAATACTTTGGATTGACTGAGATTCCAGGCATGGTTCAAATCATATATGTATGCTTTAATGAAAAAGGCTACATATATGCTAAGGATTTGTTCAAAAAAAAGTGCTATAAATAGTGCACGATAGGGAAACTAGTACACTACAGAGAAAAAGGACTACATTAAAATTATAAGCATCTGAATAGAACGGGATTCCTAAAATACTGCAGGATTTGTATAAAAACATGGATGTTGGTTCCTATGGTATCAAATGATCCAATATGCCTGGCATGATAAGGCCTTTAATTGTGAGATGCATTGACTATAACTTTGATAAATAAAAAATGTATCTCTGTTTGGCATTCCCACCTTCACAGCATCCACATTCTTTTGTTTCATGTCAGCAGCACAATGCAGATATGTGAATTTTGCTACAGATGTCACAAAGGCATCTCTCTGTGTCTGCATGCACATAACAGAGGTAACATGCACAGCAGACCTGAATCCCTGCAAACACTGTGATGTGGCGGCCTTATCGTCACTCTGATCAAGTGTCACACTGAATGCAGCCATCATAGGGGCCCAACAAACCTCCATCATGAATCTTAAAATTGTTGTATCAGTGATAATAGAAAACACAGACCTGCATAAAGCAAAAGCTTGAGTTACTTCCAAAGCATCAGTGGATACAAATCTATCTTATAACAATGGTTTGTGTTAGTCTTACTCTGACTTTCCACTCTTTAGTTTAAATTTCTCTTGTATGTTTTTTATGAGCAGGTCATTTGCTCCAACTACCCTGTCATCAGCCTGTTTCCAGTTAACAAAGCTGATAATATTGTCCAAACCTAATAGCTTCATCACACTACTAGGTTGCTTGTTTTGTGGAACTGATGAATCAGCACTCATTTTGATCTCATTTTTGACAATTTGGTCATATAGTGTACCCAGATAAGCTTCTGGCAAGTCCTTCCCATCATCTATTCCTCGGTTATTGCGAATGAAGTCAGATTTAGACATCTGCACGTTGAAAATCTCATAAATGGACTAATCTTGACTCAAAGATGTTTATTATCATTTGCTTACCTTATCCTTGACCATAGTATTGTGAGCATCAGTGTTGAGCATGATTACAGAATAAGCAAGAACATATGCAGTATCTGCACTGGTAAAGGAGTTTGGATTGCATTTGCAGTATCGTTCAGCAAACTTTTCCATGATCCGATCAATTTTCTGTGCTTCGCCAGGCAGCCTGAAGCCTCGCAAATAATACCTAATAGCTTCACCGAAGTCCATACCTTCGAAGTTCAGTGCATCCACATATGCATGCATAACTTTGATAGGGAATTCATCTCTTTCACCCAAATAGTCTCCGATCATTGTTGCATTTAAACCAGCAGTATTTCTCAAGAAACAAGCAACATCTTCTGGCGTATGCCCTATCTTCTTGCTTTTAACGAGAAAATTAATTCCCTTGGAAGGTTTTCGGTTAAACAAGGATATTCCTTTCTGGAGAAGGAAAATTATTCTTCATTAGTCCAAAAATGTGAAACCCTCTTTCAAACTAAGAATTGAAACTTCTAAACCAAGCATGAAAATAACATATACCTGAAGTTCTATTTTAAAAGCACGACGTTGCTCAAGGGAGGGCGCACCAGATACATCTGGGCTACCAGAGTCAGATTGCAGTTCATAATCAGCTCCACTACCATCTTCTCCAATAAGGATGTTAGGGATGTCTATTGAACTTAAAGAACTTAAAGAGCTTAAACAAGCTTCAGAAATTTTTGGTGAAAAATCACCAATTCTCAGCTGTTGGTCCATCCATGAACCCATTGACTTGATTATGGTTGCAAGGCACTTCACTGACTCAATACGAAATGTTTGGTCTTGGGCTGTAGTTAATGTTGTTGTAGATCCTGGAGGAACACCTAAAGCAGTTTTTAGAAGTCCATTGACAACCCTGCAAACATCTACTGAAATTAGAGATGCCTTAATAAATGATGAAAAGATAATGAAAAAAGAGGTTTAAAGAGCAGAGCTCAGCTCAATGCATCAATCCTCACAACGTACTCAACCCAGAGTGCCATGCAGAACTAGAAATCAGGAACTGTTGCTTTGTTCATTTAATAACAAAACAGAAGGTGACTTTTCATCAAGTACTAAATTAGAAGTTACATACCTTTCAAAAATATTTGGCGCATCTACATCGCAATCATAGTTCACAAAGATATCAATAAGAACCTGAGATTCTTTACAGATCTTCTCCAACAAGTTTAGAACTGTCATTTTTTGTAGAAAGCTAGGTTGATGGACATTCTCAAGAACCCTTAGGACAAGCATTGGAAAGAATATTCCAATTTCCTCTTTCAGCCCAGATCTAAACCTTGACAGTAAGCCTACAAATATGGAGCACAACAGCTGGAAAATACTCATTGCTGACAAAGCACTGTTCTTCAATAAGGACAAACAAAGATACTGCTTGATTGCTCCAAGGTACCTGATTCAGAAAAGAACTTTCAGTCCACAAGTTTTATTTGCTGTCAAGATCACACCTTCATAAAATAACCTAAAGAAACTTCACAAAGGCTAAAAGCTGTAAGAGCACACTTGTAAGAGATTTGTTCAACAATAGAATATTTCAAAATTACCGAGCTTTATTCTGTCAAGATCAAAGTAATTTCAACACTCCATTACAAAAATAACCTAAAGAAAACTTCATATATAGAATCATAAAGGCCAATAGCTGTACGTGCACACTTGTAATATATTTGCTTCAGAATTACCATTTCTACTTTGCAAACAAAAAAGGTGGAGTTCTTTTTCTGCCAAAAAAACATCATTAAGCCTATTTCATTTGAGTAGTGCAAAGTTAAGTTATATGTAGAACGACATTCATTTTCGCTCCCTTTTCTGACTAAATGGATATTATAGTACATAGCAGCCATGCAGTAATGCCATCCCATTTTCTTCCTTTTCCATGTGCTTCTAATTTATTAATTTGGTCAGTGAAAGGACCGTACAATAAACTTAACAAAACCCAAATGAAAACAAATTCAGACCATTCGAGCAGGTTCCTCAGGAGTCAGGACCTGATTGATGGGAACACAAATTCAGAATAAAGACATGTGGGGTTTCTGAGAAATAGGTAAATCATCTGCCAACCAGCCATCCACCTAGATCCTAGAGCTTTTTAAAGTGCTTGTAATAAACTATACCTTTCGTTCATGATATAGAATAAATATTTTTGGATGAATTCCAAAAACAGAATTAGAGATATATGTTTACATAACTGAGCAGGCAGATTACAGAAATATTATGCATAATAGCATAAAAAGGGTGAAAAATAATTTCAGAGCTCCCGTTCAAAATAATAATAACAATTTCAGAGCAAATATGGTGTATGCTTAATGGAGCACCCTAGCAAACAAGAATGCTCCACAGATTTGACATTGTACACTCTATGTCATCCTCCCATAAGTCATTTTATACTTCACGGCTCACACAATGGTGAAATGCACTGTAGGTCCCTAAACTATTTCCGCATTCTCATATGGGTCCATGATCTCTCAAAGTGATCATCTAGGTCATTCAGCTTTTAAAGCAGTTCATTCAAACGGCATGTTCGCTAGTTGGTTTCTGGGCTGATAAGCCCGGTTGGTGCTGGTTTGTTGTGAGAGGAAAACATTGTATCATGGCTGATAAGCCCTGGCTGAAACCAACAAGCGAACAGGACGAAAGTGTGAATCCAGGTCCATGATTGGACCTAGAGTGAACTTAGAATGAACCTCTTGAAAAGTTGAAGGACCTAGATGATCACTTTGAGAGATCATGAACCCATATGAGAATACGGGAATAGTTTAGGGACCTACAGTCCATTTCACTCCACAATAATTTTTTTAGTAACTTCCAGAAATCTAACTTATTGTTTTACCAAACACCCACAGAACTACAAGAATTTTGATAAGTATCACCGAACTACAGCTATTTTGACACTTGGTACTACAAAAATACAACTTCCTCACAGAACTACAACTAGTTTGGCACTGAGTACCTATGAGAAAGTTGTGGTTATATGGTACTAAGTGCCAAATAGTTGTAGTTCTATAAAATTTACTTAAATAATTGAAATCTACAAAGCTGGAAACAACTACAGGTATGGGGTCATACTTTTCATTTGTTCTCCAGAAAGGGCCGGCATTGTCGATAACCATTTTCAGCAACTCAAGAGACAACACCTTGCCCCGCAGCAACATCTGATCCTCAGGGTTATCTGGCGTCGAGAACTTCATTGATAGCTTGCACAGGTTCTTGAAGAGCGCAAGCCCATCCTCTCTGGTCTTGCTCATCCCAACATCCTCCTTTCCATCCACCTCAGTTGGCTCCAAATGTGACCCTGGCTCTGGGGCATCACTCCCCTCCATAGCCTCGTTTATAAACCCCTGAGCCACCTGCACGATGCTGGAATCGTTCAGGTTGCGGTCAGACACGTCCAACATGTCCGTGATCGACACCGTCCGAACGCGCACGTCCATCGAATCCACCTCCACGCGTGCAAACACAATCACCAGCACCTGCGCCAGCGCAAGCTTGGCGCAGAGCTGATTGGCGCCACTGCTGCTGCTGAGGTATATGTTGTAGCAGGTCTTGAGCACCTGGCCAAGGCCCTCCCCGCGGATGGCGACGGTGGGGCACCGCGCGGCGGCGACGATGACACGGAGGGTGGCAAGCTCCATTGCATCATCAGAGAGAGCGCCACAGGTGAGGACGGCGTTGAGGAGCCTGGAGGTGGGGGAAGAGGGATCGTCGCCGGCGCCGGCGCAGCCGAGGTCGCAGAGGAGGAGGCGGTGGTAAAGGAGCTTGGTGACGCAATCGAGAGCGGGGTCGGCGACCTTGGGCGAAGCGGACTCGAGAGCGAGCAGCAGCGCGTGGAGGGACGCGTCGGCGGCGGCGGAGGGCAGGCCGAGCAACGGCGAGGATTGCGGCGAGGTAGGGTCCGGCGAAGGGTATGCCGGCGATGAGGAGAGGAGGTCGAGTGCCGCCTTTGCCGCGGCCACGAGCGCCGAGTGCTTCCGCCACGCGGCGTTTTTGATGATCCGGTCCAGCGCCGGGCCCAGAACGCGGCCCGACGGAGACGCGCCGCCGAGTGGCGCCGTGGGCGTCGCCATGGTGAGGGCGCCTATGCGGTGGTTGTCGCAGTCGCGATGACCGTCACGTCATTGGAGGAGGGGCGGAGATCTAAGAGAGGGAGGTGGAAGAAATTGGAATGGAGGGAGGTGCCGGGTTCGTGGGGGGAGGAATTGGAGGAGGGAGGAAGAGGGTGGAGGGAGGGGTAGGACTGGAATTTTGACTTTTCATGGGCGCACTCCAAAAGATGATGGAATCGCAAATTTCGTATTTGCGGTGTTTGACTTGCATTTTCGAAAGTAAACTAATAGCGTTACTGTCATCAGATATAGCGTTATGTTATTACCAAAACATTACTATAAGAGTTATCATCCGATATAAAACCAAATTACTGTCATACTTATGGGCGATCATCCTTTCTTGATTTTCTGAAGCATTGCCTTTCAGCACAAATCATTATGGCATATTGTTCTAATTGACAGTTTTTCATTTAGCATTGTACTTCAATCAAGCTATTCTACTAGTAGAATACAACTTGTTATCAAGTTCTGTGACCTATACATTGTGGTGGCAAAAAATTCGTTACGGAAATAAAGATTGAACGATGTTATAGTGAATTAGGGTGCTCTCATAATAAGTTTCCACCACATACTATACTAAAGAATGTTTTATACTGCCACTTTTTGCTTATTTGCAATTACTATAAATGACACTATTTCTGACCTTATTTTAAAACAACTCTATTTCTAACCTTATTTAAAAAATAATGTTCAATTAGCTACTTGTATGTTTTATGGAATGGATAAATACGAAATTAAATAGAGAGAGAGAGAGAGAGAAAAAAGGAAAAAAAAAGAAGAAAATGCAAAAGAGGTGTGAAAAAAAAATTCAGGACTGGCGACTGGGCCGAGAACAACCAAGGCTCAAGCCCAACCGCCCACCCTCTGGCTCCCTCGTTCCCGTCTCTCTCCTCGCGCCGCGTCCACCACTGTTCCTGTCGACGACACCGCCCGGCTCACACCGCCGACACCCGACAGTGCCTCAGTCCGATCGAGCCTCCCTCTTCCCAGATCAGGTCCTAGTTGGACTAGAGCCGCCGCCGCATCCGTCACCTTCACACCGCGTGCGCTCGCTCGTGCTCTCTCTATCTCTATCTCTCCCTCTCTGCGACGACTGGGCGGGCTACCGCAGCCGCCGCCCTACGCCAGGCGCCGAGCCCTTCGCCGATCTCTTTGGCGGCGAAGAGCGGCCACCAGGTATTCCCACCCCCTTCTTTTCCCTATCTGCTGTGCGAAAACGAGTTCCCAAACTCTAACCTCAAGCTATTTTGGCTATTTGATGCCTACTGCCTTCTTTTCTTTTTATCTTTTTTTTTTTGCAAAAATCATCGGGTGGACATGTGTACACCCATGTCCCGTTACTGGTCCGCCCCTGATACCATATATCAAATCCACTAACTTGATTCTTTTTTTTTTTTGGGGGGGGGGCAAGATCATCGTCGAACAGTAGACCTATGGAGTGCGTGGTGCAGGGAATCATCGAGACCCAGGTATTGTTGCATAATGCAAGTTGGCACTGATGGTTTATGTAAAATGTGATCTTCACGCATTCTAATAAATTTTGAAAGATAGGAGCTCTTTCATCATCGTTAGTGCAGCCTATTTTGTTGCGCAGATCTGACATTTACTTTTCCTCTCACTGATTGCATCTAGATTTGATAACTATTTCCAATGGTGTTTAGAATGATAATATTAATATCTATTAGTAATTGTCTACTTATAGTATTGAATTTGTTGTTGAGCATTTCATTACTAATTGAATTCCCATTGTAGTGGATAAAACAATCTCATATTCATGTACATGTACAGTGTACAATGTTGAGCCACCAATGTTGAGCTTAGTGTGCACCATACCACTAGCTTCATTTTAGTGCTCAGTTGAGCTCCCTCTCCAGTATAGCCACTATCCATAGTTGCCAGTTGGTGGTCACTTTTCTGTTTACTCCAGCACAGATAAATAATACTAAAAGTTTATTTCAATGAAGTGATAGATCATGTAGACCACTAAATGTCAATAATTTATTCCCTGTTTTGAGGCACTACTTCTGAACCTTTAGGTTTCATTTGCTTTTTCTGCTCAGCATGTTAACAGAATAATAACATTTAATATACAATTGGGGGAACATATGATCTATCATTGTGCATTTACAATAGAGAGGAACTTAATTTATTTGTATGTTCTAGTTGATGTGTTGTGCACAGAATGTCATTCGGCCTTTGTTGTAGTGCTCTGCCATTAGTTTAACCTTTGGTTGATCTTCCCATTTTGCAGCATGTCGAAGCTCTTGAGGTTCTTCTCCATGGTCTCTCCGGTGTCCCAAAAGAGCGTGTTAGGGTGCATGAGCTATGCCTTAAAAGTGGACCCAATCTAGGTTAGTTTGTGATTAGTCTACTCTTCCATTCCTACACGTGGCATATTAATTGATGTATTCCAATCATACAGGTGTTGTCCCATCGGAGGTTCGTTTGTTGTGTGACTTAGCTCAGCCCACACCATCCTGGTAACCGTGATAAGCTGCTGAAAGTTTACCTTTCGTAATGTTTGTCATTAACTGTGGCAAGATTGTAGGACCATAAGACATGTTGGTGGTGCCATGAGAGGTGCTGGTGCAGAGCAAATCTCAGTTCTGGTTCGTACAATTGTGGAGAGCAAAGCTAGCAAGAACGTCTTGCATTACTTCTACACTCTAGGGTACAAGCTAGACCATGAACTCTTGAAGATTGGTTTTGCATTTCGTTTCCACCGAGGTGCCCAAATCATTGTCACTGTTACATCTACTAACAAGATGCCAAGGCTCCATGCAACCGATGAGGCTGTGCCGGTCACTCCTGGCATACAGTTAGTGGAAATCACAGCTCCTGCTGCTGCTGATAATTACAATGATGTTGTTTCAGCTGTCTCTGCGTTTTGTGAATATCTTGCCCCGTAAGTACCCCTTAGCTTGGATTCCAAGACAACAATCAGAAAGCATATAAGAATGAATCAAGCACCTGCCTTCTTTTAATAATCCTTGCAAATCTGCTGCAGGCTGCTGCATCTGTCCAAACCAGGACACTCGACTGGAATTGTTGCGACTGCAGGCGCTGCTGCTGCCTCACTCATGTCAAGTGGCGGTGGCAAAACCTTGTAATGCTGCCGCGACACCCTTCTTCGGGCTGAGCGATAAGTTTTGCCTGCTAAGTGGTGTCCATGTCTCACGTCGTTGTGCCAACCTAGGTGGTTTGTTTGACTGATTGCATGATTGCTGATGGGCATGTCGTGCCTTGTAGTTGCAGGGTCCGCACCTGTTGTGTACATGCATTATTTTTAGTAAACTTGTTGACCAAATTATTTAGCTGGCAACGTGATCTGATCCATGTACCTGTTCTAGTTAAGTTCTCAGTCTTCACAATGCTTTATTGAGCTGCAAGTTAGATGGCCAATATTGCTGCCATCATGATCTGATCATGTACCAAATTATTTTTGGTAATCTCATGATGTCTCAGTGAGTTGTGTTTTTGGGTTTTGGTAATCTTTTGTGGTATGCTGCCCTTGTCTAATTGGAAAGTTAGATGGATAAATTATAGCAATGTCTGAATAAAATGGGATTTTTTTTTCCTGATGGTACTGAGCAAACATTCCCCCTACGTAATTGGGTTGTTTAAGTCTTCCACTACTTCAATTATTTTTTCACAGCATCGTCCCCCAGCATTGATGAACTGGAACTAAACATAAGTTTCTCTCCGATACGCATAACGATTCTGAAATCTGAGCAATGCGACTACAAAGTACAAACCAGTCGCTACATCAATATCGGGAAAATTTGAAAGGTTCAAGGCTTCAGCAACTGTTGTCACCCAGCTAGCTAATCCCTGTTTCGATAGTATCTGCTGTTATCGTCTCCACCTGTAATCAACGCTGTGCAACGTTAACAAATCATTTACTGCGACTACTTTTTCTTAAACCACATCAACAAGGTGCCAAGAAAAGAGCAGAACAAAGGTTCACAGCGACGGTGCATACAGGTGGGTGTGCCAATATGTTTAACACCACCTCAGAGAAGGTTCGCACGATGACTGGTGGCTTAGCAAGCAGCTGCTGCATGCCAAGGAACCCAAGGTGACTTCATCCTCGCCCTTGTGCCTCTGCAGCATCTTCCAAGGCGGATGAGTCCCAAAGCCCCAGGATTGTCACCGTTGTTTGTCATTCTGGTCATCTTTACACCGTTTAGTGATGTCCTGGCCAGCTTTACAAGATCTCTTTCGAGGCTTCTTGGAGCCACCAGGCTTCTGTTGGGCATGTCGTCCACCAGGAATAGGCACAAGATGCTCACTAGCCAAAGCAGGGAAACCAGCGGCAGGGTTTCTGTACACAGTAAACGATGCATTAGAGGCAACAGTATGAGAAAATCTGTAGCTACTGTAAAAATTGGTTTACGAAAAAAAAGGATGACTGCAACATTTCATCTTTCACATGATTACCAAAGAAACTAGTCTTGAATACACTTACTACTTTGTGCTAAATGGATATGAATATATTTCATCAACAGCAACAAAAATGCACACCTTATTAGTGCATAAAAAGGCAAACTGTCTTCTCAGGGGAAAAAAAGGAAGAAAGCCAAAACGTACCGCTTCTGCATCTCCAATTTAACATGTGAAACCAGTGTTACATGGACATGGATGCGGCTGTCAGCATAACTCAGCAAGTTTTCTAGGGACGGTATACTAGGAACACAGGTGAGGGGTGTCTGTCTCGGCAAAAAATTTAGTACATGGGTGTAAGTATATCAGTGTGGAATGGAAAAGCTGATTAGCTATCACGGTGTTATTTGCATAAGCATTCGCAGCCTTATGTAGGGTAAAATGATGCCTAAAATAAAATGATTTAGTTTGACGACTACTCAAAATTAAATAGCATAAAGAATTTGCAATGTTCATAGTCCATCCTGAGAGCACCAAAGAATGATGAAAGTGCTCACAGCTCATCCCCCATACAAAAGGGAATGATGTGAGGGGTTAAACCAAAGCAGATAAGATGATCATTTACCCGTGAGTACGGCAGACTCCTGTGTGGCTATGGGAGCATCGGCACGCCTATCCTTCAGCAAACTCTGGCGAAGCGCCATGTTCTCAGCAGTGCAACACTGGAGGGCATAACTTAGGCGGCAGCACTCTGCCTCCAGATACTTGCTCTTCATCTCCAGATCTTTTACATACAATTTCTTCTTCTCCCTAGATTTCATGGCAGAATCCCTATTCCTCATTTGTCTGTTGAAACACAACACAAAAGGCGCAGATATTATATTTTGCATAACCAAGCAGCAAACAAATGTACCATCTATATGCTTCCCTAGTGAGCCATCTTTCAATATGATAATAATTATGATGAACTCTCAACCTTTCAGATACAAAACCAACAAAAGATACATATAAACAATCTTCCTCCTTTTTCTAGTATTGCTTAAAGATATATTTTTTACTACAACAAGGGGATCTGGCCATTTAGGGGGAAGTCGTTACATCCTCATAACTCATAAGCAGGAAAAGAGCTGACAAGAATCTCATAACATCTTATAATCTAAAAGGAATGCAGCTTTTCAAATATAAGACAACAAATCGAGTCCTCCTGAAACAATAATTAAAGGCCAGCAAAAAGTATCCAGTGATAGATAATGAAATACTTCATTTCCCTTGTTGTGCATGTGATCATATACAGTAAGTTATGAGGGACCTTCCATTCATTTTTTTTCCCTTATAACAATGACTAATCAGGCAGTGGCTCAGCATAATTCAACTCATAAAATTGAACAAAGTAACCAAAGTTTGGCAGCTCCCCTTCCCACACAAATTGATGCTCAATTATTCATCTGGTTTATATTTCCATAATACTTGCATCAAATTATTCCCTAGGCAGATGAGAACATCAGATTGTTTTTTCTCCTAAAAAAGACACGGAAAAAAGACCAATACCGCATCTTCTTCTTGCTGTTGGGATCGTCGCCGCAATCCACACCCACCACCACCTCATCCTCCCCCGCGCGAGCCCTATCGGCGCTCTTCTCTCCAGTGGGCTTGGGGCTCCCCTCGCCCTCGCCGTCCTCAACGAGGATGCCGTCCAAGAACCCATCAACCCCGTCCAACGGTGCCTCGTCCTCGTAGTCCTCCTCCTGCATAAGGAAATTCTCGACGTCCCCCAGCCCCTCCAGTAGGCTCTCACCAGCAACCACCAGCTCCCGCGACGCCGCTGCATCCGGTGCAGGCAGCGGGGCGAAGGCGGCGGCGGGGTCACCGGAGAAGGAGGCGAGGACGGCGTCGACCTCCTCGAGAGGAAGGTCGTGGTCCCTTCCTCCCCCAATCCCCGCCGCTGCCATGGCGATGTTGGCCCGCCGCCCGCCCGGCTAACGGCGGACGCGCATTTCTTCTGCGGCTATCACTTTCGAGTGAGGAAGGAGACGGTCCAGTGGGCCTGCTGATACCTGATAGTGACCTACGTGGTTCTCCCCGGACTCGTTTAGTTAGGCGAAATTTTTTTAAATGGTACAGTAGCACTTTCATTATTATTTGATAATTAGTGTTCAATTATAGTCTAATTAGGCTTAAAAGATTCATCTCGTGAATTTCGTCTAAACTGTGTAATTAGTTTTATTTTTTATTTATATTTAATGCTTTATGCATGCGTCCAAAGATTCGATGTGATGGAAAATCTTGAAAAATTTTGCAAAATTTTAGGAACTAAACAGGCAAAGCAAGAAAGTGCCACTTCAGTTCTGAGTTATAAATAAAACTTAACTTATATATATATATATATACTACAACTAAAAAGAATAAAGTGTGGATATTTTTTTGGTGCGATATTTATTTTGGTTTATTCGTCTGCCCATACCTGCGATCCCACGACATCTTAATTACTGATTAATCGTGCCATTTTCCTTGATTGAATATTGCCTGTCATGTGACAGAGGAATCACGATAAAATAGGAAATAGAAAATTATTGTGCTATCCATATACACATTGCATGTTTGTATGCACCAGCATACATGGCAATGAGCAAAAGAAAAGAGAATTAACACAGAAGGAAAGAGAATTAAGACAAAATGAATCTCTTTGTATTTCTGAGAACCTTGCTAAATCTGTCTACATTTAATTACTTCCCCTCTTTGCACTTGCAAAAGAGACAGTTTTTTCTCCTTTCATTTGGTTTCACGCTCACGTGTTTCATCGCCCTCGCTTGTTGTTTCTTGCATGAACCATAGTTGATGGCATCTGTCTTCCATAGCTTAGCCTCTCAATCCCAAGAGAAAGTCACTACCTCTCCCTGACTAGAGATCCGGCCTGCCAGAGGATCTTCTCGAGTTCATCGGGCAGTGTCTCGCGTCAGGCCACGACGCGGCGTCCTTCCGATCCGCTTGCTCCCCATGGCGCGCCGTCGTCCCGTTCGCGACGTTCGGGCCGCTCCTGCTGCTCCCGTTCGACCCCGACTCGGACCGCATCAGCTTCTACTACGTCCTGGAGAAGGTCTTGTCCAAGACGCTGCCCGACGTGCACGGCAAGGTGACGTGCGGCTCCTCGTGTGGGTGGTTGGCGCTCATGGATGAGGTCGCGTCCGTGACGCTGCTGAATCCATTTGCCAGTGCCCGTGCCCCCCGCGTGGAGCTCCCGTCAGCAGGCGAACACGTCGCGACGACGTCCTCATCGGAACGTGTGTCTAGGGTCCACGGTCGGTGTGTCCTCCATCCCACCGACGGCTATGAGGACGCGGATACCGCAGGCAGAGCCATCAAGCTAGAAGACATGAGGGACGTGTTCTTCTGTGAGATCGTGCTCTCGGCGCCGCCTGACGCCGCCGGCTGCGAGTGCGTGGCTACGGCCATGCTTGGGTGCTTCATGGAGGTCGTGTTCTGCCGGGTTGGAGTCGACATCAAACTGGAGTTCTCCGTGGGATCCATCGTCCACTGCCAAGACAAGTTCTTGGCGATCGACTGCACTGGAGAAATCTCCGTCTACAACAGCAACATCGTCGGCGCTACTCCAACCGCAACACTACTGCCATCGCTGTCGCCATCTGCGGGGCTCTACCACCGCAGCTACCTGCAATCAAACGGTGAGCTGCACATTGTGGGTGCCATGGTGAGCACGTTCCCCAAGGCATAGAGCTTCACCTACAGCAGCGCGATCTACCAGTGCAACCTCCACGACCGTACGCCGGAGTGGTCCAGGGTGAGGGACATCGGTGATCAGACACTATTCGTGTCTAAATATTTCAATGAAAGCTTCAGTGGAACAAGTGTATCCAAGTATAAGAAGAACAAAATCTACATGTCTGAGCCATTGTATGGGGATCCATACGACTTGGTCCATCAACTGGATATCGTTGATATTGCTATCGGCGCATCCGAAGTCAAGCCCGTTTAGGAAAAGATGCAGGGTTCCGAGGCTCTAGGTTGGATTCGATCCAATCTCTAGAAGCTCTAGAGTTTGTGAGCCTACGACACCGCGTATTCCGTGACTGTGTTAAATTCATAAACTTTACTTTTTGGATTAAATGTCACTTTAACGTTGGTATTTAATTTAACAGTATTGTTATCTTATCGTGCGATCCGTGTGTTTTTAGTATAAATTGTTAGTTATCCCGTAGCAACGCACGGGCACGCTACATAGTGTGTGTGTATATATATATATATGTATGTATGTATGTATGTATATATATATATATGATCAAATACGGCCTATAATATTTATATTTATTATATATAGTAATTATTAGCATATTAGAACATGGTCACAATGATAATAACACATGTTTTAATAGTTTATCATGTGTGACTATCCTTTATATTTGAAATTTAACATTATAAAAATAAAATAAACATTATAACCGAAGGAGCGAAAGTAGCTGCAGCTGGGTATGCTAGATAGTATGACACGAAATAAAGGGAAAGTGGCTCTATTTAATACCTATAAAACTTTCACGACATCCGTTAAAACTGGTCTTACGACTATGTGGGCGGTACGACCCTGGATACCCATGGCAGACCACATGGGCTACGCCCCCAGGGGCGGCCCAGCCCACAAGACGAAGCCTTGCGGGGCACGACTCTGGTCGACGCCTCCCGTAAGATATCGGAAAGATATCCTGAAGATACTACGAGATCTGTTAGGATACGTATGATCCCAAGATTCCTGTAATCTGTTATTACTTTTCAGTTATCTCTCAGATCTAACCGACTTGTAACCCTACCCTTCGGACTATATAAGGCGGGCAGGGACCCTCTCCAAACTCACGCAATATCATAGATAGCCAATACAAACCAACAGACTATAGGAGTAGGGTATTACGTCATACTGACAGTCTGAACCTGTCTAACTCGTGTGTCTCTGTTGTCTTCTTGTTCTTGATTACATGCCTCTCTACCGATCAATCTACATTGGTGGGATACCCCTCGAAGGACTGCCGATGATATTTTGTCGACAGTTAGCGTGCCAGGCAGGGGTGTGTGTGCTGTTTCCTTATCGAACAAGATGGCTTTTCCCGCAGGCTCTTCGTCCCTCCCATAGCCTGGCCAGATCTTCATGGTCGAATCCATCTCGTGGGTCATCAACGCTGACAGAGTCAGAGAGCTCATCGAGCCGGTGCAGATCGATTCTACGCCGATCACCCCAACACCTGCGACTACAGTTCCAATCTCGGAACCGCCTCTGAGGTCACCTTCATCAACAATTCACTGCTCGCTTCCTTGCTACCAGAGGAGGCAGATCAACAACGACGATCTGATCGCATCCATCGATCAGGTTGGTCAGAAGCTCGCCGATTGCCTCTCCATCGTTGAATCGGCTCTGGACACTCTGGTTCAGCGCTGACCACCCTCCGATCCAGATCTATCGGAGGCTGCTCGGGAGACTCCAGGGGTTATGGCCCTACCCTTTGGGTTCACCAACGCCAACACCGCTTACCAAGATGCCCTAAGGGGCAGTTTCGCCGATCAAGGTGGAGATGTCTATCCTCCCGCTGACCAGATCGCCGACCAGCCTCCGCCGGCCGTCAACATACTGCACATCGGTCGACGCCCTAGAGCATCCCTCCAAACTATCCTGGAGGAGAATCCGGACTCCGAGTCCCAGGGCTCTATGGAGATCGTCGCTAAAACCACCACCGAGCTACTTCCTCTCCCTCCTTTCTACGGCGACATAATCTTCAACGTCAGCGTCGACAGCCCCCCTCGGAATGGCGAAACCGATGAGGAACGCTCCACTCACGAGAACCAGAACGTCAACCGTGCACAGCGCCGAGCAAACGAGGCTACCCTTGCGAGGGCCGAGCAGTAGCTTGACTCACAAGGAAGGCCACTCCAGCGCAACCTCGACGACGAGTTTGTCCGTGTTGACGGCCACGATGTCTACAAGATTCCAAGCGCCAATCTGGCAGTGGCCGCCAACGAGCTTCGCTCGGCTCCCATAGACACCAGAGGTTGCCAAGGTCGCGCCATGCTTAAAGTGGCGCACTGTCAGGTCAACGAGATCCGCCAGGATCAGAGACCTTCATGCTCCACAACCTCGATTCACCGATCAGCCGCGCAAAGATCCGATCGCCGCCCAAGTTGCTTCATCGACCAGCACTGCGATGATAGGCAACCCCTCTAGGGCGGAGCTAGGGGCAACCGCATCGAACATCGCCGCCAACACGACCAGGAGGTCGACTAGGACGTTCGAGTGCACCTCAACAATCTCCGAGATGCACAACGACGTATCGACGAATGCCGCTTCGATCGCCATGAAGAAGAAGTACGCCACCGCCAGGAGTACGAGCAAGAGTACGGTAACCCGGACTCAGCTCTTGAGCCGCTCAACACTGGCAACGCTACAGACGATGGTGCCGCCAACCCTGAAGGGCCCCTAGCATTCACAAGGGCGCTCTGAACACTTCAGTGGCCCCATGGTTTTAAGATCACTGGGGTCGAGCCCTATGAAGGAAGGATGAACCCAATATAGTGGCTATAGGCTTACGCCACTACTGTCTGCGCCGCCAGAGGAGACACCAGTGTCATGGCGAACTACCTTCCCGTCATGCTCACACCAACCGCCATGAACTGGTTCACAAGCCTTGTCCCGGACTCCATCGGATCCTGGGAAGAGCTAAAAAAAGTCTTCACCAACAATTATATGGCTATATGTACTCGGCCGGGCACCAAGCATGATCTCAACTGCATCAACCAGAAGCCATCTGAGCTCCTCCATAGCTACATCAGACACTTTTCCCGAGATGAGGAGTTCTATTCCCAACATCACAGAAGCGGAGGTCATCACCGCCTTCATCAGGGGACTCCATCACCGCGAGCTTCCCTCCAAGTTCAACCGCAAGCCGCCCACAGGGAT